GTTTAGAAAAAAGAAATAGGTTATGGTTTTTGTTTTCTTTTACAGTTTTCATTTTAATATAGAATATTCTAGAATTGTACCACAATTAATTCATTCTTCATATTGGTTATTTTTAATTTTTAATTTCTTTGATTAATAAACTTGTTTCATTTTGTTTTGAGATGAAGTTGTTGCTCAGGTTGTCATAAAACTCCTAGCTTCAAGTGACCCTCTGTGTGTACAACTGTATCCAGCTACCTTACTATACTTTTCTCAACAATTAGATTTTCCCCCTTGTATATAATTTTTTGGGAAATACCTAAATGAAATTATTCAGATTAGGTTATGGCCAGTTTTATGACCTCTCAGATGTGACTCAGTAAGTTTTTATCTTTTGGTAGCCTAAATAACTTTAGATTTATTTTTGATTAGCTTTAGATTCAAAGTAATATCTTATAAATACTATTTTTCTTTAGTTAGTGGTGAAACAGGATCTTTTCTCAGGTGCTGATTTCAGCTTCATGTTTATTTAAACTGCCTATTTGTATTCTTTGACAGGTTTATATTAGTTGCTCTTTGCCACATAATAGATGATCCATAATAGCTGTATTGGCTTGAGTTATACTGGAGACAATAAGCTTTATCCATTGTAATTACTGCAGACATTGCATCCATTTGTTATACCCTCTTTTCATTACATGAAAGTTTATTTTATATAAGTGGTTCTTTTTATGTATTGTATTTTTTTCTGTTGCCCATGAGTTTGTCTCATTTTCACAGGTAAGAAATATTTATGGTATTGTTTTAACCTAAATTTTAATTCTTTACATACTTATTCATTATAGTTTATGATGTCAATGTTTTCTTCTCATTGATGTTTAGTTTTTCTGACAATATTTTTTAAATTACATTTTTTTCCCATTTATTTCCTATTTGAAATACCTTTTAGATTTGATTATAGGATTGCCATTTCTAGGCTGCCCAGTTTTATTGTGTTTTGTTTCATTTTTGAAACAAGCTCTCACTGTATAGGTCAGGCTGGCCTTGAGTTCATTGTGTAGCCCATGCTTGCCTGGAAGTCACAGTGATCCTCCTTCCTCAGACTTCCAAGAGCTGGGATTACAGTCATGTACCATTATACTCAGTGTCTATTGTGTTTTTTATTGTGACAGTAAAACAGACATCAATGAAGTATTTTAATCATTTTTTAAGTATAAAATTTGGTTGTATTATGTTTGTTCACAGTGTATAAGCATCATCATTATTGACCTGCAATGTTATTGCTGTTATTTTGGGAGAAATTATTTAAATCTCAGCTTCCTGGCTGTCCTGTCTATAATATGCAAGTGATACCACCTGTGTCTTAACATAGTAGA